CTTGACAAGACAGTAAAAAATTATAATATGAATTGTAGAAATTTAACCAATCATAAATTCTGTTTTCTTCTAAATTGTATTTCCTAAAATAACTTTTTTAGATATAATTAATTACAATTTTAGGTGTGGAGCACCTCCTAACATTTAAATCTATCCACCTAAAAATGGGAGAACTATTTTTAAGGAAATTATTTACAGATATGCCACCAGTGCTCTAACATATCTTTATGGAGCACCGAAGCTGTAGGCTTAGGGGTTGTTTGGTTCATTTCCTTGATATAGAGAAATGCAATTCCATGTAAAGAAATACAAGTTTTGAGTTTTTCAATCTTTTCTAAAATAGATTGTTTTGCTTTGGTTCGCACATAAAAAATGATGAGAAACCAATATATTTATTTTTCTTGTGTTTGGTTCGCATAGAAAAAAAAAACGTTTGTAAACAAAACAAAGAAGAAAAAAAACATGACGTGGCAGAGTTTTAATCAATTTCACTCGGTTGGGGAAGGAAATCGGAGAGGGAAAAAAATCTGAGCTGACGACGATTTCAACAGAGTTTTCCCTCTTCCATCTGAGCAAACCAAAGCGGCACAAAGAAATGGACGGAAACAAAAAAAACTAACGTGGAGGGCTAAAAATCTGATGTTGAGAGGTTTTCTGAGTTTTCCACCCCTTATAATAACGAACCAAACAGCCCCTTATATACTAAAGGCTTACAATAATCTGAACAATAAAACTAACAAAATAACATACCCATAAAAAATATTTAAAATAAAACTAAAACATACATATCTCACTAAAAACGAATCAAAATTGTTTCAAACTCTTAATAACATTTTAAATCTTCACAATACTTGAATCTTTTTGAATCCGATCCTTGATTTGTGCAATCTCCAAGTGAATTTGCCTTCATAAAAAATTGATAGCAGGAATCCTTGGTTGGATCCCATGTTAAATCTGCATCGACTCCAAAGGGAATGAAAAGTAGCTCAATTAAAAAAAATCTTCTATCGCAGAAAATTTTGCAACAATAGGAGCCTATTGTTTGTGCTTTTGTAGGGAAGAGTCCCAGAATCCTCACCTGCAAATATATTAAATACTAGCAAAAAAAACCCCGCCTAACGCGTAGAGAATGAAAAATGCATACTCAAAGATTCTGCACTAACAATTAAAACATTCTGGAGAAATCTAGTAACAGAGATGATGGCATCACTCTTACTTTCGATCCCAACTAAATGATCATCTGCAAACATGAAGACCAAATAATATTAAACGAAGAAGAGGAGCTCCTTTGTAGTTCACATCAGAATTCAATAATAGCATAAACTTCTACACTAACCATGATCCACGCAAACTAATTCAGATTCATGTTCATAAACAAATATCTATTCAAATATGGATACAATAATATTTGCATGAACAAAAAAAGTCAATGCTTAAAGAAAGCAAGCAGCAACCTTTATATGTTAACATAAAAATTCAAGGGATAAGAATGAGTTTAATTTACCTGGATAGGAAGTGATGCAAGAAACAAACCAAGCACAAGGCCATCAGAAGGCTAGCTAGTGAGGCAATGATCCCACCTACTCGACTATGCACACCATTGTATTTAGTTATTGCGAATGATCCAGTCAAAGACAGTATCTCAAAACAACTCTGCATATCTTTATTAATGGTTAGGCTCAGATTTCATCACAAAATTATCTACATGATAAAAACAAAATCTAATTATGATATTGATGGACAAAATAAAGAGGACGAGCAAGGCTCCAATAATTTAAGGGCAGCTGTGCAAAGGCAAAATGTCAAAGCTAAGTTGCATCAAAAGCATATTGTGAATGCAGCTACTTGATCTTCGTGAAACACATAATCTACTTCAAGCTCCAGGTTGGGATTTGATCACAAACACCACCAAGCTTCTTTGTTCTTGTCAATAGTCAAAATCCATAAAAAAATTGACACTTAATGCTTGTCATATGAAGAATAAGTTAGGACAAAACGCGAAAACATTCATACACACTTCATAAACATATCAACAATCTTAAAGAACTTAAATCATAATAACACAAGATGCTAAGCATTAACGAAAAAAAACGACATAATTAAAATGATTTTTTTTGGGAAAAAATTGCAACAGAAGTCGAAGAAAAAAAGGAGAAGGAAAAAAGCTCTAAATTCTATAGGGCACTCCATAAGTATTAGCAACTAAATCCATTCAGATTGGAGACAATTAGCTGCAAAAAAATGGTAGAATTTTATCACTCATGGCCAAATGGACTATGCATAAGAACATCATAATTTCACATAGTGAGGATGGACAAAAATTTCTTGATTTCTGTATCATAAAATTAAAGAATACTCGAATCTCTAATTTTCTTAAAAGAGGAAAGAGAGAGAAAAATGAAGCCAAATAAATATATATTGGAGTACGAAAGATCCATAATGAAATTATTAAATCATTAAACACTCTGTTATATGGAAAAACTCTGCATATCCCTACTCAAATCATAAAACAAAATAATCATTCACATCAAATAATAACAACACAACAAGAACAAAATAATATGGGGGACACAAGAAAGCCATATTTAGTTGTCTTACCTCTTAAAAACCGAAGTATTTCGAAACAATAGAGCATAATGATCAGAGTTATCTAAAACCATTGGGGCATGATTGATCTCTTTCTCTGCATACATAAGTTGCCTGTCTGCTTCGATCAGGCTTATAAGTTCCTAAGCAAATCAAGATAATGAGATCTCTATTGCAGATACCTGTTGAAATTTAATGCTTATGATCTAGATAATTTAAATGCTTAATGAGTCTATGTTATGATTTGGTAAAGTATCAGTTGCTCCAAGAAATGGACTTTAATACATAATTTGCTTATGTAGTTGCCTGCTGTGTCTATTGCTATAGTTTCTCCGCCCCTCGTCAATCCAGCTTCCACTGGGACATCTAGCAAGACTGAGGTATATAGTTTATAATCCACGTGTTAATTGTCGATATGGGGTAATTTATAATCTCTTGAAAGGAAAAAATTTGATTTTTATATCTTTTATTTCTTAATTTGGGAGATTTTTGGATATAGTTTTTTTCCTGATAAGAGTTTTAAATTTTTGAAACTCTTATCAGGAAAAAAACTATATCCAAAAATCTCCCAAATTAAGAAATAAAAGATATAAAAATCAAATTTTTTCCTTTCAAGAGATTATAAATTACCCCATATCGACAATTAACACGTGGATTATAAACTATATACCTCAGTCTTGCTAGATGTCCCAGTGGAAGCTGGATTGACGAGGGGCGGAGAAACTATAGCAATAGACACAGCAGGCAACTACATAAGCAAATTATGTATTAAAGTCCATTTCTTGGAGCAACTGATACTTTACCAAATCATAACATAGACTCATTAAGCATTTAAATTATCTAGATCATAAGCATTAAATTTCAACAGGTATCTGCAATAGAGATCTCATTAAAAGGACGTCCAGGAATTAAACAATCCACCAAAGTCATTTCCTTACTGAATTATATTTTGTTTTATAGAGATGAAAATTTTTGATAGTCATACCTCTTGTTGTTTGTGCAGATTCCTTATGTCACCATCACTAGATTTCACCCGATCACTCGAAAAATTCACAGTGGCTAGGAGTAGAAAAGTTTTACCAGTAAAATTGATAAACTTGAAAATAATAATTCAAGGATAGCTTTTTATACCATTACAACTACATTTCACATCAAATTTGAACTAAAAGAGCAATCTTAAATGAACTTACCTCAGGTGCATCAACAATTGCATGAGAAACAAAGAACTTTCACAAATATACAAATTAACTCAAGACTACCAAAAAACAAAGAGACTAAATAATTCCAAAAAAAGGTCAGTCTATTTACCTCCGCGTCTATTTTCTCCATTTTCATCGCCAGCAACAATCAGTTCCTAAAAAGCCAAACAATATCCAATGAAATGAGAAAATTTACATTTGCATAAAATGTTACATTTTGACAATAATACCTCTTGTAGTTTGGGCAAGTTCTTTTGATGGCATCACTCTTACTTTCAATCCCAATTACATGATCATCTGCAAACATGAAGCCTAAATAATATTAAACGAAGAAGAGGAGCTCCTTTGTAGTTCACATCAGAATTTAATAATAGCATAAACTTCTACACTAATCATGATCCACTCAAACTAATTCAGATTCATGCTCATAAACAAATATCTATTCAAATATGGATTCAATAATATTTGCACGAACAAAAAAAGTCAATGCTTAAAGAAAGCAAGCAGCAACCTTTATATGTTTGGACAAGTCACTCCACTAGTGGTGCAATAGAAAAATTGAAATACCAAGAATATCGAACAGTGTAATCAAGTACTATGAGAAGAATACGTACATTAACAGAAACAACAAAAATCTAAGGTATTCCTGTCCAATTTGTTTGCAGGAATTCATAAAGGCAAAATATATTTCAGTAAATACAATGTCGTACAGCGATATCTCTAATATCCAATCTCCTATGCCCTCTTCTTGCTCGTCCTTTTGGTTCATTTTGGATGGCAAAGAGACAATATTGCACTGTCCAAATGGAGGGAAAAGAAAGAGTTATCGAAGTTCACATGAACCTGATTCTCAAACAATGTGCAAGAAATATATGGAAATAAATTAGAACTGACATTGCAAGATCAGATTTTTCAATCAATTTAGCATGATATATAATATGACACAAAATCTTCCCATATTAAGACCCAGTTTAATTAGCAAATAGAAGTGGAGGAAAAGGAGGATCACAAATTAGTCACATTCCAAGCTCATATATAGTGATAAAAGTTATATTTTGAATTTTCTCAATTGAAAAACTTCTCTATTTATACAAACAAATGATATAATTTTAGCAAAAAAAAATCATTTTTTTCTCAAGTTTCTTTTCATCAGAACATTATAACTGCCTGGTTCATCCACCAACAACAAGAAAAGGCCCCTAAATCAAAATGTTAGTTTACAGCCCTGAAAGAACTATTAAAAAAACATAACTCCAAACAAAATGCTCACTCAATCCACGGCTGAAGCGAATCCTCCCCTTTATACGTCTCAATCGGCTCAATCAACCTCCAGATCTCAACAAAACCCAAAAAAAAAACATAAGCTAACCAAATCCAAAACCCTAGATATTTGAAACAGATATTTGAAACATAATAAGCGTGCCAACATGACAAATACAAGAAAATGAGGATATGAACTGCTCATCAAAATTATTCCTTCAAGTATAACAAAATAAATCATTTTTCAGTTATTATAATAAAATACCAACATACATATCAAACATCAATTTTGAATACACATCTCATTAATTATAGTTATACTGAAAGTTAAAAATATATGCACATGATAGAAGATAATCACAATACCCTTGTCTATTATTGACCTTCAATATTGGAATGAAAAAAAAGATCATATCTCAAAAAAGCAATACATGTCACAAGCAATGTTTATAAGCATATGCTACGCACGTTTCTAATTATAAAATATCCATGACATGAAAAAGCAGTTCAAGTGCAGCATCCTACAGAAAAGTTCACATCTTTATTAAAAAAAGAGGCAAAATCACAAACACCTAAACCGCAGGAACCCACCTGTCCATCAAAACTACCATAGTCTCCGCGGTCAGCAGCGACTTCCTATGCATCCTATGCACCAGACTCCAAGCCAAGTTAAACCTCTTCTCATTCCCCATCACCCAAATCATCAACTCCCACGCTTTGGGCCAATCCTCGACAAAATTCCTCGCCCATCTAACATGAGTTATATTAACCATGAAGAAATGACGGGAGCTCAAAGTATAGAAGGCTCAGATTTGCCATTTCATCATTAACATGTACATTTATGAGGTTGTAGTTGGAAAATAAGTTCAAAAAATTATGGACATGGAATCATCCCACAAAGAGGTCCTACTTTGTTAAGTACTAGGAATGGCTGCAACGGCTGCCTAGCATATAGCTGACCTCCAGTGTTGCCTCGCCATAGCAGTGAAAGAAAGATACATAAGAAATTCATAAGAATAATGCTAATAGAGAGGATTGAAAAAAACAACTTTAACACTACAAACCCTTCATCATCATCATCCCTTTTTATCAAATTACTTTTACAAATATAACTAAGAAGGGATTTTTAGATATTAGTCCCCTAAATCTTCAAAAATTCCATATTAGTCCCTCAAATCATTGAAATTGCTTATTTGACCCTCAAATTTTATGGGGACTTGAGGCTAACATGTTAACCAATAACCAAAACCATTGAGGTGATTGGCGGCAAATCATCATCGCCTCGTTGGAGAGCTCCAGCAGCAAAGATTGGACATCTAAACAATGTAGGGACCGTTTGGTTTGCTGCAAAAAGAAAGTGTAACAAATGCTAGCATTTCTTGCAAAATCTACTTCAAATCCATTATTTGAATCATTACAATTTTATTTTGGAGAATATATTTCCATTGCAAATTTAGTGTATGATGAATAGCCTTGAGCGATGGACCAACTCGCTTAAGATCGTCTCGGACATTTAAACCCCTAATTACAAGTGGCTGCAGCTCAGCTGCCCTGCCAAAGTAATTGGGCTTAGATTATCAAAAGCATGAATCTTGAAACAGTTCATGTATTGAATCAAATTCAGGTGAAACGGGTCAGCTTTGGTTCAGGTCCTCGAAGATCCACGTAAATCCCCATCCCTAACAATTGGTTGCAGCAATTTGCTACCTTACCAAATCAATTAGAGGTGAGTTCAAATCAAAGGAGTATCATGATTGAGATGCCCGTACAGTTGCAAAAAAGATTTCAGTTAACTGCAACTGTATTTTTCAGATAAGGGTCTGTTTGGTTATTTCCTAAAAACATGGAAATGGAAATGAAAGTGGAAATCTCAAACAAATACAATTTCATCCATTTCCATCCCTAAAACTCACCCATAACATCCAATAAAATATTATTTTCATCCAACAACTCATCCACTACATCTAATAAAAAATTATTTTCATCCAACAACTCATCCACCACATCTAATAAAAATATTTTTCTTAAAAAATCAATCACATCATCCTATAATAAGGTGACAACTAAAATCATCTCATCTCTTTTTCTTTGATTTCCTTCTTTTTTTTAGCCAACCAAACATTCCCAAAACAATTTTTCTTAGAAATAGTTTTCCATTTCTTTGATTTCCCTCTTTTTTTAGGCAAACGAACAGCCCCTAAACAACAGCAACAGCAGCAACAAAGCGTTGTAATTTACTATGAGCAATTTATAAGGTTTCACAAATTTCGAGTGAGCGCATGTACCAGTGAAACATTAGGGGTGCAAACGGATCGGATTCGGGTCGGATACTACAATATCCATTAGGAATCAACCCCTAGCTTGCTGCCTCGCCATTTTCATTGATTAGGGTTAGGGTTTACTCACTTTTAGAGGCAGACTTACGAAGCAAACAGAGGCGCGTGTAGCAGAACGAAGAAGATCGCCGTCGCGGATGCCATGGCCAGCTCCCACAATGCAGAGCAGACCAAATCCTTCGTCGGTTTGAAGGGGGAGGATCGGAGGAGGGTTAGGGTTTGGTTTTGAGATTGGGGGTGGGTTTTGAAGGTAGTGATGAGATTGAGGAGAGAAGGGAAGGATGGGGTCATCATCGTTAGAAGAGGAGATGGGTTCGTTGGAACTGGGGAGAGAATGGAGAGAAGAGGTGAGCAGGGATCGAAGGAGTTCTCTCTTGT